GAAGTAGGTAGCCAAATTAATGAGCTTCCTGGTCTATATGACATAAACTATGTTCTTGATAAGGGTAGCCCTGAACACTTTAGAAAGGTTGCTATAGTTAAAGACAATGTCTCTGGGAGGAAACTAGAGTTATGGTCAAATCAACCTGGTGTGCAATACTATACTAGTGGCATGTTGAAGGATACCATAGGTAAGGGTGGAGCTATTTATCATAAGTACGGTGGCATTGCCTTGGAGACACAGGGTTTCCCTGATTCTGTGAATCACCAAAATTTCCCATCTCAGATTGTGCATCCTGGTGAGACATATAAGCACTACATGGTCTATAGATTCACAGCTAGCTAAGTGGATTCCTGAAAATATAGATTCACTTCACATATAAATATTCCTCCTATGTTACATTTTCTATAGTTAATTATGATATGAATAAAATTTCTGCTAAAACATTTTCCCATATTATTATTGGAATTTGCATTTATCATTTAACATAACATAAGAAAGTTTCTTACACACACAACATTTTGTTGGGCCCACACTTTTTGAAGCAAAAAAAAAAAACTATGGCATACAAAACGAATCTCTATAACATTACACAATCATTTTTCCTACAACATAACTCTTATAAAACCCATTATTATTACTTATACTTCAAAAAATTAAAGTCACGTTGAATAGTTTAAAAATTAAAGTATGCTTCAGTCTAAGTTAAAGGAAAATAAATTTCTTCTAAAAAATATAATAAATTAAATTTTCTCTTTCATTAATTGTTGTTCTTTGCAATATTGTTGAACAACATTTTTGTGGTTAATTAACTTTTTGAAAATGGATTATATGCGTTGTGTTATGTCATGCTATTGTTTATTATTATTTGATTTTTATTTTTCATTGAAGAAAGCGACCTTTAGCAAATAAATTATTCATTTTGTGTCATTTCGTGTCAACTTACATAATAAGCAAGTCATGCCAATATCAAGAACAAATAAAATTGGGATTGATTAGTTATTTGTGTCATGTTATATCAACTATACAAAATAAGTTAGTCGTGTTCTAATTGAGTGTATCTTTATTTGGGTTAAGTGTATTCATAATCATATCAAATCTTGTCCCAAACCTATTAATATGGTCTGCCACCCTTGCATTAATGTATTGATGGCACTATTTATTGTTAATTTGTATTTGTTTTACGGAATATAATGTGAAGTAGAAAATATTTCAATATAATCATAAGAGGGAGTTAAACGTACAATCATGAAAGTGGTTGTAAGAGAAAAGAAAAGAGGTTACATAATAAGCGGGTCATGCCAATATCAAGAACACGTAAATTCGAGATTGATTAGTTATTTGTGTCATGTTATGTCAACTACACAAAATAATAAGTTAGTCGTGTTCTAATTGAGTGGATCTTTATTTGGGTTAACACTAATCATATCAAATCTTGTCGCAAACCTATTAATATGAATTGCCACCCTTGCATTAATGTACTTGGGTTAACAATTATTGGAGTTATGTGTGGTGAGAAATATAAGAAAGAAAAGCGTGAAAAGGTGTTAAACACATATGAGGGCAAATCTGCCCTCATCATGAAATAGGTACACATGAGGTATTTAGTGATATTTGAATAAAAGATGATGATGGATATGTGATATAGTGATGAAGGGAATGGTTCTTAACAAATGATAGCTTCAGTGAAAGTCATGAACACACCTATATGTGTCATTTTCGACCTTTAAAGAATTAAATGGGTTGGAATTGTATTGGACTTGGATTTATGATTACTAAGTCATATTGAGGACATGATAAGTCTATGTAAAGTGAGAAATGCTTACTTAGAGTTAGTGGTTTTAAGCTAACTAGCTTTCGGGGTCCTATATGTTAAGTTTTGAAGAAATTAGTAATGACTTGTTGTTTGACATATGATTGGCATGTGAATGTATGGAACAAGATTATGATAAGGATGTAATGACATTAAACCAATTGGTATGTCATATATGAAAATATAGGAATCATTCAAGTGTGAGTGTCTTGTATATAATACTTGGCATTTGACCTATATAATAAATGTTTGATATTGATTCCTACTCTAGGGTTGTACCTAGAGATTCTGAGCTTGTAGATCAATCATTGGAGGAAGAGTTATAGCTTTCTTGAGACACAAGTAAGCCTTGTTTTAAGCTTCATGAGATAAGCTCTTTGTTTGAGGAACCTTCTCCTCCATGTATGCTCCACCATAGTCCATTGGGGCTATAGTATGGAGAATGTAAGATTGTATGTTTGATACCTAGTATAGATGCATTCATATAGAGATATATGATAATATGATGTGATATGTATGATCTTGTTGATGGTCATTGAACATATGTATGTTGACTATTCCACTAGAGGACCTAAGCTCCTCGAGGTCATATGTACATGATATGTTGACTATTCCACTGGAGGACCCAAGCTCTTGGAGGTCATATGTATATATCGACTAATCCATTGGAGGACCTAAGCTCTTAGAGGTCACATATATGTACATTTGATGTCTTGGGCATATATGCATGTAGTTATTCAGTTAGATGTATGTATACGTGATATGTATATAATAGGATATGTAGTGGCATAGAGCCATTAGTGTTTGTGCCCATGAATGGGTCTTATATCGTCTGTTGGATGATTTGAATATGCATCAACTGTACTAGACTTTTCTTATTGACATTGATTGTAAAATATGAGTGGGATTTAATCCCCAAACTGTCCAATTTAGAGAGGAGATGATGTTCGTTCGACTCTGTCAGGGTTGATACTTGTTATCATACTCTGATGGTCATGGACCATTGCTTATGGTTAAAAGATTGATAAGTTAGTAAACAGAATTATGTATTGGTATAGGATGGTACAATTTGATTAATATGGAAAAAAATTTATGTTATGCAATACATCAAATGAAAAAGAAAAGGAAAAAGTTAACTCACTAAGTTACGTATGTTAACAGTGAAGTTTTGAAATAAGTCTTCCATTTATGCATGTTAAGTATGTTGCGCTTTAATACCTTATGTATGATAACTAACCGGCTTAGGATGGGGACGTTACACTTATTACCTAAAAATTTTCTTTTACAAATTACATTTTAGAAAATTTCATATAAATTTAATATTAAAAATACAAATTATCATACTAATGTGCTAAAATAAAATTCATATTCTTAGATACAACTATATCATTCCTCCTCAATCACTGTCTCACCAGACTTAAAAGCTTCAGGTGAAAAGAAGTTAAGATACTGGGACCGAATTCCAAAAAATCCAAGTCCAAATTTTGAAAGCCAAGCAAAAGTGGGTTAAGAAAAGAGATGAACATAATACCACCATTAGTTAACGGCAAAGGAGCCAGGCTTAAATAAACTGAAGATGCATCCACTAACAGAAGAAATCGGCAAGAAGCTGAGTTTAAAAGAAAGAAGGCAAAAGCCAATTCAAATTAATGCCGCTGATAAAAGGAGTCAGAATCAAAGAAGAAACTCATGGCGAACATCGCCGGGTTCAAAGCTTAAACATTGTAGCAAAACAAGTCAAATACAAAAGCGACTACAAGCGACGAAAATTGCTTCAATAAAGATGCTAAGTCAAGATCAAAGCAAGAATTCGACTCTATCAAATTAAATAAAACATGCAAGGGAAATTCAAATTACCCGAACAAAAAAGGTTCGGGAACAAACTCGACAATCTCTACTACAAATTAAAAATTGGCCTAAAGGCCCCCAAATCAAGAAAAAGCAATGTGCAAAGTAAGGCAGTATTCCGACACAACTATTCGTCCAAAATGCTAGGCAAGGACCGGCTTAAGATCTTAGATTAAAGGGAAAGGCCAGAAGGCCAACACCCTGATTAGCCCAAATTGGGTAGTGCAGAAGTACAAACAAGACAACCTATAGAAGGATCAAATAAAAAGAATCCAGACATGACCAAAGTTCAAAAACAACACAGCCCGACAAGTCTGGACTCCAAGACTACCGAGCTGAGGGGCAAGCGTAGTAATGCAACAATCAAAATAGAATGAGGAAAGCAACAACTTTCATAAGTTGATATCTCGGCAAGGCGATCAAAAAGCAAGATCAGTCAGCCCAAGCTTGTACCTCGGCAAAAAAAGTTGAGGGAGAAATACTGAATCAACATACTCAGTACCCAGTTCATAAATCGGTTGATCTTGAACACAATCAGAGACAATAACTGCAATCGCTGACCCAATTAAGTCAGCAAAGAAAGGTTACAACCCAGAGAAAAAGTTATCGGAAAAAGAATTCAAGTACATCAAATGCGTGGACCACTGCTATTACATCTTGACAGCTTAGACCACCAGACTACCGGGCTGGGGGCAACTGTTATGGCCCTGATAAAGGCCCCATATTCTAGAAGGTTCAATAAAGGATAACACAAAAGGAAAGTCAAGTAAATTAATGATGATCCTATCCTGACCGCTAAGCAGTTGGACTTGGGTCTCCAATATTCCTAAGATACTCAGAAATACACTCCTTCCAAGTAACTCGTCTATAAATAAAGGCTTAAGCCAAAAAGATACACACATTCTAAACTCTCTCTCTTAGTTGTCACTGTGCACACACCCCACCATTTGGCTATGTCGTTCTTATAGTGCACAGTGATCCGCTGATCTCTAAAGTATCTCTCTCATTGATGCCTGAGAAAAAGCATATAGATCCAATAGTAACATACCAATCACTGACTGGACATTTCTATCACTACAACAGAATAGGTTATTAAATTTCGTACATATAAGTGTATACCTATATTAGAACCAATAGGGTATCGAAAATCACTAAACATGTATTCCTAGTTGCATACCTATTAGTCACTCAATATATCAATGTTGAACAGCCACAATTATATAATATCAATACTTGATATCATTATCAAAGCAAATCCAGAATAAGAAAATCACTCAGAAAACTTCCATATTTCGCTAAAGTTTTAAGTGTCTGCTAATTTCTTACAACAAAGAAGCTAAGATCTTGTTTTATTTTATTTTGGTAGGAAAGCGGGTTGTAAAAAGAATATTACAAAGTAAACTACAAAAAAACATGACTATATACAAACTCGTGATGCTACACGTAATAATATTAATTCAACCTGTATAGTATATGTAGACTAGCAATATAATGTGTATGAAATTATTTATGACAAGGTGTCAAATGCCTGAGCCCCACGTGCAACCTTAATGAAGACATCTTCCAATGTGGTATCAGCTAAACCCCATGCAGAAACCGTGAAGTTTCTCTTTGCAGTTTCAACAGCTAGGAATACATTTGCTATTTTAACCTCCTCTTTTGGCAGCTCAAACTTTTGCGTACCAGAGATATGGTATATCTTGTTAGCATTTGAGGAGAGCTGTTGCACCAAGTTCTCCACATGCTTTTCATGATCCATAGATGTTGTAATCGTGAACACATAAGTTCCTCCATATCTGGCTTTCAGCTATGATAATCCAACAAAAAGTATACAAAATTCACTTGGTAGTAAATAAACGAATATAGAAAGTGCAAGCTGAATAACCAGTGAGGATTTTGAAGTTCCATTCTAGGAATATGAACCATATATAACAAAGAATGAAAGTAAAATCTTAAAAGGTCTTCTACAATTTATAGGCTTAGCCCATTAATTGTGTGGACCAAAATTATAAGTTGGGCTTAATAAGGATAGGCAACCCAAACCCGTGAAAAGCTTTATTTTGCAAATGATTTTGACAAAGCATGTCATTTAAGCAATGTTACCTCCTTTGGATTTCCGATGCACTGCATGCTACCATCTGCAAATATTCCTAATCGATCACATAGGACTTCTGCCTCTTCCATTGAATGTGCTGAAAGGTGTATTGCAAACAAGAGTTATCAATCCGTATATAGAGAGCTAGAGAAACAGAGAGAACACATCCACACATCCATGTTGTTATGAAACCAAATAAATAAACCAGTTGATATATTTAAATCATATACGCCAAGCAGATAATGGATATAATAAATTAAGAATAAAATAAATTTTGGGTCCTCAACAAAAATCATGGGACCCAATTTAATCCCTTAGAAAAAAAATTGACTTGTAGTCTCTCTAAAATTCAAAATAGACCTATGTTAGTCCTTTTGAGGTACTAACGTTAGTCTTTTTTGATATTTCAGAGGAACCACGATTTCGATTAACTAGGTCTATTTTGAATTTCGGATGGACCACGAGATAACTTTTTTTTTTTAAAGGATTAAAATGAGCCTGTGATTTTTGTTGAGGATCCAAAAAGTACTTTACTCATGAATTAATTCAATAACATGTACATGTGCTTCAAAATAATAGGAGAGAATGAGAGAGTACTGGTGAGAATGATTGCACGATCTTGTTTTGCACGCTTAACAACATTCCATAAGTTGTTTCTTGAAGCAGGGTCTAATCCAGTACTTGGCTCATCCATATAAACAACCTTACCAAAATTTAGCGCTTGCAGAATGTTAGAGAAAAATATAAACTATTAAAAAGACTCTCACCCTTTACATGGTATCAGAGCTTCAGTGACCACGAAGTCACAAGTTCGATCCTCACCCTCCCCCTCCCCACTTTCTAGTGGAATTAAATAAACAAAGGTAAAACAAAAAATTGGGTCTGTCCATTATCAACGGTTCAAGCCCAAATGGCTCTTGCATAAGGAAGTATGTTAGAGAATAATATAAACCATTAAAAAAACCCTCACTTAACAGCTTAAACTTTTAGGTTGAATTAGTTCTTTATAAAGAATAAGAAAACATAACATGAATTATAAGGAAATTTTTTTGAAAAAAAATAGATTTGAGAAGAAAACATACTCGAGGATCTCCAATCAATGAAATAGCAACACTAAGCCTCCTCTTCATTCCTCCACTGTATTTTCCAGTTTTTTTATCAGCAACTCCTCCATGAAAAAGGTTTACACTTTTCAAAGATTCTTCCACTGCCTGCAGCAATAGATTGAGAGCTAAATTTTGCTAAAATCTTTTCCTGTCTGCTAAGTAAATGCTAGAGAGAAAGTTGTTTAATTTCTATCTACACTGTCATCTTATCATCTAAAGATCCATACCCTCTTAACAGAAGAATATGCCATAAATAATTAAGCGGGGAAAGAGAATAATCATGTTCTATGACATGGAAAGGCTGTTTATTTTCCTTTAACAATGACATACACATAGTTCAATGCTAATTTCTTTTTTAAAATAGTAATTGTCAAAGTTTCAACTGTCCAATGCATTTGTCACTAAAGAGTAACAATTGGAGAAACAAGTAGGTATAAGACTGGCTACTAATCTATTTTTCTGATTGATACCACTAATATGCAAGACTTTCCAGGTCCAAACCTTCTCTCCAGCTATAATCTCAAATTAACTTACTTGTGTTAAGGCTGAACCCTTAAGATTTTTAAGTCTGCCATAAAAGAGAAGGTGCTCTCTTCCTGATAGGGTTTCCCACAGCAAGCTAAAATAATAGAAGAAAAAAATATATATAAAATTTCTGTTTTTTGAATTTAACATTAGATAGAAAAAACATAAAAATTGGAGGAAATTCTAGCTTACTCATGCTGTGGGCATACACCCATGCTAGTATATATTCCATCCATATCAGTTCTTATGTCAAGACCTTGAACATATGCTGTACCAGAGGTTGGCTTTGTGAGACCAATCATCTGTAACCATATACAAGCTGGTAAGGTTTAAGAATTGAAAATAAAACCGGTCAAAGAAAACACAAGATTTTCATGGAATTCTAAAAGAATTTCATAACGCGGTGAAGTAAATCAATCAGAGGTCCATACTAGTTAAATTCATACATCTATAATAAGCATTAACAAATTGCAAATTTTCATTGATAAAAGTAAGATTTAAAGGAATTTTAGAAATCATTATTTCCTCTTATGTGAGAGCGAGCAACTGAATGGATACTTCAGATCCTACTTATATTTTTGTTAGGGGAAAGGAAGGGGTGGGGGAAGAAATGCAAGGAATTTTCCAAAAATATATATTGCTGATTAAAATCAACTTTCACTGACCATGTTGATAAAAGAAGTCTTCCCAGCACCATTGGGACCAAGCATACCAAAGCATTCCCCTTGAGGCAAAGCAAGGGACAACCCTTTCACTGCAAATTTCTCTGGGTTACCATCCCTCCCCGGATAGACCTTTCTCAGGTTGTCACATACAATTGCATGATTAATAGTTGGTTCAAGTAGCAGCTGTTCCACCTTCTCTCTCTGAAGAGAAAAAGAAGAAAAAAAGTAATACATCATACTTGCAACTACGAGTCGTCATTAAGTACAACAACATTTGCAAAAAAAAACCTTGCAACATAGAGGTCTTCCAGAAAAAATATACTGTTTAGATTTATGCTACAGGTACAAACTAGGGAAGTCTGACTTTTAGTTTACCTTCATCATGCATTCTTTCCCTAGAAACAATACATAGTGTTTTAGAATAAAAGATTGTGACTAAGAAATTTTTTTGTTTGTCTATTGAAATCCATTCCTAATTAAAATGTCACCTAACTGTTCCAAGTTATTCAAGCATTCTCTATATCCTTACTGAGGCAGCATCATTACATCATTTTCTAAAATCAGTCGGTGATATCAACCTATCCATGGACATTAATTTTTAAAACCAGTAGACGGATAGATAATAATGAGTACATGTATTCAATACAACAAAAATTCACCTCTTGATTGACATCTGGTTTCTCCATCTGAACAAAAACTTTAGATCCCTGCCTTTGGATACTAGGCTTCCTAAAAGATGAACTAGGCTTTTTCTGAAATCCTTTCAAGAAAAAGAGAGGACTTTTCCCACTTCCAGATGACAAAACTTGATCCATGTAATATGCCAAAAAAAGCACCAATACCCACTCCACGAACATGATAATTAAGACATCTTTCATGCCATTCGTGCTATTACTTAGATCTTTCCACCGCATTCCATTAGTCCCCAAAGCATTCCCATTGAATGAAGATTGTGAAAACTCATATAACCCACGATATAAAGCAAACCCAGGATACAACTCCATAACAATGATCCACCCTCCTAATGAAATTTCATAGGCAAACAAAAGGCAGGAAGGAAAAGGTTAGAAAGTGCAAAAATGTTGGCACATGAAACATAAAGATTACTGAAATGAAATCTAAGTAGATACAAATTCTAATCACAATGATCATATTAGTACGTTCTTCAGTTAGTAGAGAGAATCAAATAATTGCTGAATCTGATAGTGATACATCAGAATTCCCTTCAATTATTGATGCAACCTTAAATGCCAACTCATATCATTAATCCTTATGTATCAATTCAGAGAAACACCACATTGCTAATAAAGTACCAAGTGAGTGTCCTATGTGCAAAAATTTATTGAGAACAGAAAAAACTATTCTAATGACTATTGCAATAGTTATTAGCATCAACAACAATTCTATCGATGCAGAAAATTATCTAATTGTGTAATAGTACTTTAAAATAATCAGATCAAATCATATATGGAAAACAATATGAAGGACCCAGGATGGTTATCATTTCTTAGTCATTTGACTTACTTGGAAACGATGTATCTTGAACAAAAAATTGGAAAAGAAAGCCAGCTAAGAGCCCAGTTCCAAACACACCTATATATGCAACTACTGTAATAAACAAAACAAAAAAACAAAAAAAAAAACACGTAAGTAATCAGATTCGAGAAAGAAAATGTTGATACACCCATTATTATGGACAACATAGAGGCAGCTATCATCAAACCTGTTGCTGTCTTAACATTTGAAAACAGGGAAGCCAACAGAAATGCCAGCGATATTTGTAAATTTATATAGATGAAATAAAACACGGATTGGATGCTGTAGTCATTCATTGTGAAGAATTTTAACCCTGAAGAAAAAAGCAGTTACAATAAAGAGAAACGATGGAAAGTGCCAAAAAAAAACAAGGAAGAAAGAAAACAGTTCACTGGTTTTTATTCTTACCTATGACTGAGCCAAATATCACAAAACACAGCATGTAGACAATAGATAAGGCAAGAAAATAACCATAAGAAATCATCCAATACGGCCCATCACCAAGACCATGCATTTTCATCATGATTCTTAATTTTTGTTGCTTCTCATAAACAAGCGATGTCAGGATAATCTACATCAATAAACACACGTGTTCAAAAAACATGTAGAAAATAAATTCCTCTGTGTTGACACAATAGATATTAGATAAAATTGTTGACCTTTGATTTTGAATCATGTATTGTTCTGTGAGCCAGAAAGAGTGTTTACATGTGATAACAATTTAGCCAACACAAACCCATTCATCAATGTCACTATTTTCCTCTCATTTCTACTAAATTCTATTGCTAAAACAACTTAGTCATTGCAAATATATTTCTTCACATATTATATACTTACAGGGAAAAGTTGCAGGATGACCCATGTAAAGAAGAGAGGCCCCAGTAGAGAAGCCAAATCAAATTTAATTGGGGTCTCAGGTTTCGGCATTTCCTTTACAAACTCAAACAACATTTGGGTACCAGGTCCCAGCAGAAACTGAAGGTAGGCATTAGATACCTGCAAGCATATAGACTATAGATGTCAGTCCCTATTATAAGGTACACAAAAATAGAGACCCAAATTTTATTAAGAAAAGTGGGAATATGTATATAAAGGGAAATTGCTACCGTTTATCAGCTTAGTGTTAGAAAAATATAAAACCACTAAAGAGCCTTTCACTTAATAGCCTAAGTTTTTCGGTTGAATTAGTTCTTTGTATGGTATCAGATCAGATGCTCTGGTGTCACGGGTTCGATCTTCACCACCCCATTTAATTAATAATCAATTAAGTCTTGTGGAGTTTCTTAGCACAGGGAGGTGGATCTGTGCATTGTTCCAAGTCCAGCGGGCTCTCATGTGAGGGGGTGTGTTAGAAAATAATATAATCTCACAAGAGCCCTTTGGCTTGAAGCGAGGATTATTGCATAGGCCCAATTTTTGGTTTACTTTATGCTTATTTAATTCCACAAGTGGAGGGCGATGAGGATCGAACCCGTGATCTTGTGGTCATTGAAGCTCTGATACCATGTAAATAAACCAATTCAACCCAAAACCTTAAGGTTTTGGGTTGAATTGGTTCTTTACATGGTATCAAAGCCGAGTTGGGTTCGAGCTAGCCTGGTGATTGGTTAGGAGGCGGGTTGAGTACTTGAGCCCTAGGGTACTCGGTTGAGGGGAGCATATTAATGTTGGGTTTCACACTTGAGGGGGAGATTGTTGAGATACTCAAGTGTGATGAGTCCCACATTGGTTAGTAATGGGCTAATTGAAAAGTATATAAGAGGAAGGATCCATAAACCCAATGCTTTAAGATTTTGGGTTGAGATGTGGTGTCGGACCCACTTAGTGTATTTGATCCACCCACCCATTGGTGGTGGCCCCCTGCCACGGGCTTCCTCCTGGACCCACATGACAGTATTAGTTTTGAAGTATAAAATACAGCAATTAAATGCTACATGGGCATCATGATTATAATTCCACTTCTTTCGTTCAAATTACGCATAGTAATGATTAAGCACGTTCTTCTCCAAAAATTAATATTTACTTCAAAATCTATTCCAACACTAACAACTCATGTATGTCTTTTGACTTTTTTTTTTTTTTTTTTTTTGATAAACATGTCTTTTGACTTTCAACTTAGTATTTCAACAAAATAATTTTATTTTACTTTATTTTTCTTCTTTTTATATATTCACAACACAGGCTAAGCAAGTAGCATGTAGTTATTTTCTATACTGAGAGTTTCCTGTTTCACGACGTTTATATCAATTATTAGAGAAATGGCATGGAGGAAGCACAATTTAAAAACAAAGTTTAGATGTATACCAGATTTACAGAACGAGGAATACGCGCCAACGCAATAGATGCAAAGCCTGTGTCATTTTTGTAGGTTGAGTTGTACCATATGCTGACATTATATCTATTTCCATTTGAATTTAGAAAATCATAACCTGTCAAAAGAATAATATATACAATAAGTATTTCCTTCCACTCTTCATATAAATTGAAATATAATGATATATCTACCTGCAGCTATCTCATCGATCTGTTTCTCTGTGTTACCCCTTCTATAACCTTTAAACAGCTCATTGTTTACCTCAGAAGAACTATTACGCCATAAACGTAAACCCTGAGCACATGTTACCTCTAGATCCGGTGGAAAACAAAAACTTGAATTAGTAACAAAAATTTTAGACATCATATGCAAGCCTTGAGCACAACCTACCTAGAGAACAACAACATAACAGTACATAAAAGACCGGTTACTCCATGCAAACATATTCAAATTAACTTGTGGGTGCACTTATGGCCATAAGATTATTATCATTGTTAAAGTGTTTCAAATGCTTAAAAAAGGTCGCAATTATGTCCTTTTGACAAAGTAAACAAGAGAATCTTATGCATAACGTTTTTTACTTTTTTATACTCCCTTTTGATGGTTCCAAGTTTTGTATCACTTAATGAATAACATGGCAAACAGTTTAATTTAGAAAAATACAATGATCCTATAGCTAAACCTCCTCACTTAAAAAGTAAAACATCTATGACTAGTCAACTTGTCATCATCAAGCATGCACCCATCTTGCACAGCCATAAGGACATATAGGCTATAGCCATGTGAATCTAGAAAGTTCAGTTCATGGTATCCCCCCTCCCCCCTAAACAAAAAACAAATGCACACACAATGAAAACAACTTTGCCTCAGTGTTTGACTTAATCCAGAGGAGGCCAATTCTGAGTAACTGCTAGTCAATCTTGTGCTTCTGATTTTGTTGTCATTTAGTTTTAATTACATATTCCATCCAAAAGCAAAACACAAATCGAAAACAAAAATCCAAAGCATGCAAGTTCGTTATCTGATTATTTTAATAATACATTGCCGTCTTGATTAATAGATAGAAATTGCAAAACTGATTGTCAACTTTCATTATAAAATAGCTATAAGCATCATAGAAGAAACATTGTCAATACAAGGATGTCCCATACCTTGCTGGCTGCTAATGGTTGATATCTGAACAGGAATGGAGAATGTAGAGTTCTGTGTACACTGACTTTGTAGATAATAAATGGGAAGATCCGAAAAGAAAGCAGGTTCCAGAAAATTGTCGTACTGTGTCTTTGATGATGATCCCTATATCATTTTGATCGTTGCACCACCATCCAAGTTAACAGAGATACGATAGAGTAAGACAATATTTTCAGAGTCATATTTTGATATCCAAAAAACGAAATTAAATTAAAAATAAATAAATTATTGCCACTGGCATTTACAAGAGATAAATAATTTAAATAATATTAACTCACCACGACATTTGTTGCCAGACTACCCATAACATCGGAATTATTTATGGTAAAGGTACTTGGGATCATATTCCCAGATAAAACTGTAAAAGAGGAAAACATGTCAGTTAAGTAAGAAATTAGAAAAATGAAAAGAAGCAGTTTAATTTAGGATTTAATATTTCTCCTATTATAGAAAAAATTTATTTACTACACACATAAAAATGTACGGGGTCCATGTGAGAGAGAAGAGAGAAAAAGACTCACATGAGCCCCACTTACTCTACTCTGTGTATAGAATACAATAAGAGAAACATTAACCATTTTAATTTAAGGGGCAGGGTAATATATTTATTTATATACTTTCTCCAAAAGATTGGTTAGTGCCGGTGAAGAACATAGTAACAGGACACGAGCCATTGTTCCTGCAAGACTGGTTTGGCAAATCAGAAAAGGGAAGAAAATCCGTTCTCACAGCACGATATTGTGGAGCAGGCACTTGCAACAGAGGAGGCCATTCAGGAGGGTTAGGAATTGGACATGTTCCAACTTGATCCAAATCCGAATACTGAATACCACACACTTTCTCAATACAATTGTCCCCTTGTGTCTTGCTACAAATGCATCCACACTTGTTTTTAGCCTTGTCCAATTGAATATCTAGCAGCTTTTGGATTAGAACCAGCAACAGACACAGCAAGAACGGGTACATGATTAGCCTAATCGTTGTCTTCACATTTCGTTTCTGAAAACAATATCATACATATATAAATAAATAATATACATCACACAAAGCATGAGAAATTAGAAACATGTTTACTCAATAATGTTGAATGAAAGTTACCTGGAAGGTTAAATTCTTCCTAAGGAGAGCGTTTGCTTGAGTCCAGAAACTAGCGGGTTCATTGGGCGTGTTTCCATTTTCCATGTCTTGTGTGTTTTTATTCTTTTTCTCACTCTGCTCCAACCTTAACTAACATAACATACACCTCTCTGAAACTTGGAACTGTGCAGTGTTTATATACGTGTTTTATGGTGTGACCAAATCATCCCTCAACTTCCACTTATTTTCGAGAATGGTATTATTGGTGAGATTGTCAGGTGTGAATGCGAACTTGGCTTAAGCTTAACTGGGCAAAGTTGCTGAAATTTTGTCTCCCGATTATGCCCCTGGTCAAGTGACTATAATACCCCTCTCTCAGGTTGATGTTAGAGCCTCTTTCGTGTGACATATAAGGCACGAGAGTATAAGCTTATACTATACGTTATGATATTTTCAGTTATTTGGTGTGACCATTGTATAGTATAAGCTTATACAGCATAATCCCTTAATACATCAGAACGATGTATAACTTAATCCGGCCTAAGGGTAAGGGATAAAGGCTGATAAGATATTGATGTATTAACATCGTTGACCAATGTAATTCTCAAAAATTAATATATTATTTTAATATTAATCTATTAAAATAAAAATTAATTTTTAAATATATTAAATTTAAAATATTAAATATTTATAATTATAAAAATTAATTTATATTTTAGATTTAATTTTAGATACACTGATCAATAAATTTTTATAAAAATTAATATCATATGATATTTTTTGTAGAATTATATAAATTTTTTTAAAGGATATTTTTATTAAAAATATTTATTTTTATCATATATAGTATTATACAATGCATTATCAAATACTAGATGATATTATCATATACAATATATTATTTTATACAATACTGTGCCAAATATTAAATAGTATTAAAATTTATAATCAGACTTTATACTATCAAGTCTTATACCATTAATGCCCTTAATTGTTAACTTTATCCAAAGTTCATTTCAAACACTGCCTGCCATAGTGCCATTTTTCACGCCGGCGTGGATATGCCTGAATCGGACGACAAAGTTTACGAAACATTCCACGAAAAAGCAATAACTAAGGGCGTGATTAAAAACAGTTTTATAAATATCTTTTTTCAATACTTGTTTTAAAAACAATCTTTTTATATTTTCAAAAATAAAAAAAATTCTTTTTGATAATACTTGTTTTATGAAAATAATTCAAAAAAATTTAACTTTTTTCTAATTTTTAGAATCAAATTAGAAAATATATTTCAGTTATTTCTGCTTTATTTTTTGATTTTTAACTTTTAAAATAGAAAAATTCACAAAAAAATATTTTTTTTATTAATTATTCTACAAAACAGTTAAAAATAAATAAAATATAATCAATGGCGTAAAAGACTGTTTTTCCCATTTTGCCCAAAAGTCAACTCATTGATTTTTACTTGCCGCGTGTTTTCCTTAACCACGTAAACATAAATATCACCCTAAAATCTGTTGACCAAAAACAAAATGTCTTATGTAAACGATGTGGAAATTTTGAACATAAAATAAGCGATTTGGTAATAACGAGTAGCCACCGTTGTTTAATGAAATAAAAAATAAATTGAATCAAACTTTTGGTACCTGATATTTATTTTTAATATAGATCCTATAAAAATATTTAAATCAATCAGTGGCAATCGTTAAGTGGGACAGAATTATTTATATTTTAAAATTAATCATTAAAATAAAAGAAAAAAAATTGTAAATAAAAGCAATTTTTGTTTCAAGGGATAATACTATACATAATTTAAAAAATATACTTATCACATAAAATATGTATCAAAGCTCAAATTAAAAAACGGGGCGAATGCGCACCCCAGTCCCTAGGCCCCTTCAGTTCGACCCCGAAATCAATCGGCGAAATCATTTGTCATTTCATTCATTGTTTATCATAATATCCTCATCTACTCATCTTACATGACCAATGGAATGATGGATTATGACGGTCTAATGAGATCTTGATATTTTGGTGCATCAAAGCTTAGGATACATCAATTCCACATCTTCAATAATTTTTTATTTAAAAAAAAAAAACTATATATGATAAAACTTTAAAATAATAGTAGATACCTCGCACATGCATGCATACCAAAGGGCTTAAATGAATATTTATTTATTATAGTTATTAAATATATTCATGTATTTATATATATATATATATATATATATATATATATATATATATATATATATATATAGGGTTTTATAAGAGTTATGTTGTAGGAAAAGTGATTGTGTTATGTTATAAAGGTTCGTTTTGCGTACTGAAGTTTTTTTTTTTTTTTGCTGCGGACCCCACAAAATATTGTGTGTGTAGGAAACTTTTTGTGGTCATGTTAAATGATAGATGATAAACCCACATATATATATATATATATATATATATATATATATATATATATATCAATTATAAATATATTCATGTATTATACTTCTTTTTTTGACAACAAAAGTAAATTGTATCAAAAATGAAATATTTATGTGAAGAATTTAAGTACTATAATTCTTACATAAATAAATAAAATTATTATCTGACATATTTTATTTTGGAGTTTTATAGCTCTTTTGTCACTGCAAAAAAAAAAAAAAAAACTTCTACAGCAACATTAGGATAGGTTTCGAATTCTGATTTTTTTTTAAAAAAATAAAAAACAAGTGAGACTCACTTGCTTGTGTCTGCTGCGCCTAAAGTTGTGCAATCGTTGCAGGAAATTTGCACCCTTCATTTTTTTACTACACACATTAAGTGAAGTAAAATTATTAGAGAAAAATAAGGAACAAGATTTTTACACACGCATCAAGTGAAGCATTCAATGACATTCCTTAAGTGAAGTAAAAACCAATAAACTAATTAAATTTGTTTTTATAATGTCACTAATTTGATCCATTGTCACTTAGTAATGTACAATGGCATCCCACAGCACCTCTCTAACCCTGTTTTGTCCTTAGGTTATTGTTAATAAACGAATAAAATAATTAAATTATTGTTACTTTTATTTTTTTTATTTTGTCTTTCTTATCTCTTTTTAGGACTCACATAAATTGTACTATTATTTATTTATTTATTTTTATTTTATTTCTTATTTCTCTTTGGGACTCGCATACAATGCAATTTCTAGGACCATTATTTTGTCCATAAGGCATTGTTAGTAAAAACCAACGAAGTGATTAAATTATTATTTTTTATTTTTTTGTCTTTTTCTTTATTGCTATGACACAAATACAATATTCTTCTAACGTCCAGAATTTGATCCATTGTTAGTTTGTCACCTAGTAAATTTCAATGGTATCCCTTAGCTCGCTATATAGGTATTCTAGAAACAATTTGAGACTCAGGTGAACCTGTGTAATATGTATTTCTTTATTGTTATAAATAAATTTTATGAATAAAAGCATTTTTTACTTTATTTCATATTGCATGTCTCAAATATTGAATATGAGTAATTGGATAAAGCCCTTGGAATGAAACGGGTGTCACATTGAGGATCTGTGATAGTGATCACGATCATGAGGGCTCAATGACACCACACGTCCATTATCAGAAATATGTTCCTAGTCTAGAGATACCGAGAATGAGCATTGGAGATCTCGGGTAAGACTAGCACGACTCATGTAACATCCTGAGCGCTGACGAGGGCAGGGAGTGATCGCCGGTGCAAAAGAGGCACAGACAAGGAGCGGCTCCTGACAGGCTTCCAGCGGGGGGTTACATGAATGAATTGAATCGACACTGGAAAGAGAGTGATTCCAGAGACTGTGCAGGTATGAGACTGCACAGTTTGGGATAGCTTATAAGAATTAATTGGTACTACCTATACTAACAAGATGCATCTGCTTTTCGGTAGCCCGGAACGGAAGAACAAAACAGTGAAGCGTGCTTGACTTGGAGCAATTCTGGGATGGATGACCTCCTGAGAAGTTTTCTCGCGAAGTGTGCAAGTGAGGAAAAAAGCACACTGAAAAGTCTCGTGTTAGTACGTGGGGATAGTCGTTGATTCTTGAAGCGGCCGGGCGTTATAAGTGGTATCAGAGCAGGGCCTCTCTTCCAGTAAGGTGTGGTTCAAGGACGAACCAGGCGGAAGCTGGTGGGCATGTAACATCCCGAGCGCTGACGAGGGCGGGGAGTGATCGCCGGTGTAAAGAGGCACGGACATGGAGCGACTCCTAACAGGCTTCCAGCGGGGGGTTACATGCATGAATGAATTGAATCGACACCGGAAAGAGAGTGATTCCAAAGACTGTGCAGGTATGAGATTGCACAGTTTGGGATAGCTTATAAGAATTAATTGGTACTACCTATACTAACAAGATACATCTGCTTTTCGGTAGCCCGGAACGGAAGAACTCCACAGTTAAGCGTGCTTGACTTGGAGCAATTCTGGGATGGGTGACCTCCTGGAAAGTTTTCCCGGGAAGTGAGCAAGTGAGGAAAAAAGCACACTGAAAAGTCTCGTGTTAGTATGTGGGGATAGTCGTTGATTCTTGAAGCGGCCGGGCGTTACAACTCAGCTACTTGTATGGAGATGCAAGGTAGAATCCTCGTGAGCTACAGACATGGAGATGTCTTAGTTGACACGTGGAGGACCTATTGGAGAATAGCTCGCACTGAATTGACCCACAAAGAGACACTACAAAGAAATCTCACAGATAGTATCAATAGGTAATGTCTCTTATTATTTAGGTGTGTCTTTCCTTAAACCTGACGTTGTCATATAGCCCTGTGCTCTGGAAGACTTGCTTTGATTGTATACCTTGTCTGCCTGAAACATGGAGACTAGTAGGTATACTCTTGGGCATGCATTAAGGACTCAGGGCTAGTGTGACAAGCTGAAGGAATTCGTCAATCTCTATGAGAGATTAGGTTATTCATAGATCGGTGAAACCGGGATGACATTTACGGGACTCGAAAATCTATGCATAGTAAAGGAATAATGAAATGGCCCGCTCTTTAGAGTCTGTAAATGAGGATTCCCTGTTTCAAAAAAAGCTAACCCTAGACCGTAGGGGTTGATACGTTTTCCTTGCCCTAGGTCAATGGGACAGATAACCAAGATGAAAGGACAATTCACATGGGTCATTCGATGAACTCAACTAG